GATGTACTGATAGGAGATGATGTCCTTCATGGGTTCGATGGCCTGAGTAAAACGCTGGATTGCATGCCAGCTGCCCATGGATCTGGTACATCCGTTGTCCAGGATCGCATAGGTCGGATTGTGCTGAGGGTTGATGACAGGCGCCATCAGCTTGGTTGCCAAAAGGCTGTGATTTGTTGTTACGGACAAGTTGTGCTCTGAAACTGCATCTGATTGGATCAGCTTCCCGTGGATGGCCTCTTTCTCATGATGCTCATATGCGTCATGGAATTTATATTTCGCTTGTCCTGTGCTGGATGTCTCATGGGATGAGTGCCAGCCTTGTTCGTTCCATGTCCATGATTGATCCCAATCTTGGTCTGTCCAACCGGCATAGGTAGGCTCTGTGGATGGTGCAGTCTGCTGGATGGCGGGCTGCTCCTCCGTCTTCTCTGCGATGGCTGCGAACGTGTTGGATTTTCCTTTGTCATGTCCTCCTTTTCCTTTGCCATTCTCATAGGGTGGATAGCCCTTGTTTCCATCATAGGGACATTGGAATTTTGATGTTCCTTTCTTTCCCTTCTTTCCTTTGCCTTTTTCCCAATATGCCTGGTCGTAGGGATCATAATTTTCATTGGCCATATTGGCCTTCCCGCCAGAACCGCTTTTTCTGAAGGGTTTAAAGCCACCTCGTTGGTGACTGCCCTTTTTGTTTCCTGATTTTCCTTTTCCTTTTCTCTTCTTGAATCTGAAATTCCGCCCTGACACTTTTCTTGCTATGAACGCATCATTCTCCCCGAGGACCCAGAATGTCTCCTCATCGTTGTTCGACATGAATCCTTCAAGTCCTTCTTCATCCTCAACCAAAAAGCCTTCTTCTCCTTCGTATTCACCTTGTTCGATGATGAAGAATGTGTTGCTTCGGTTGCCTCCTTGAGGTCGGATGGATGGATCTTGAATGGATGTCCTGGTCGTGATGAAGAGTTCATGGTAGTGCGTCTTCAGCATCCCATAGGAGTAGTTCTCTAATGAAATGTTTCTCAATGACATTGCACTTGTCAATCTTTCTCTCTGCTGATCTGACCATTCACTCTGTATAATGAAACACTGCGCAATGAGAATATCCCCGAAGGGAAATGCGTCCCGCTGTCTGTCCTGCATTCCCGTGATATACTGTCTGAGGACTGTTGGATCATCCTCATTGAGCAGGACTGGAGGCGGTACTTGAATACCAGCTGCTTGCTGATGTCCTGTACGGACTGTCGAAATGATGGGGACTGTGCCGTGAAAACGGGCATCAAGTCCATCCATGCTGCCTTCAATCTCATAAGAAGGATTTCGAATTTTGAGGTAAACATGAGGAACTCTTGGTTCTGCCTTCTATGATTGAAGAAACTGAGGAGCCTGTACAGATACACGTTGGTCGCACCTTTCAAAAAGTACTTCTTCAGCGCGTTCTTGTTGTAGTTGACTCCTTCATCAGGATCTTGCAAAAGGTCATTTTGGAGGACTGCCTTGTACATATAGGCATCTCCTGTGAGTCTGCTTTTGAGCAGAGGTCCTCTCTTGGGTGCTTCCACCGTAGTGATTCTCACCCAGTCGTCCACGAGTTCTTCATACCTAAACCAGCTGACTTTTCCGTCGTACGATGGCGGCTGCTTGGCGGTCATCGATAAATTGAGTGTTTCCTCCGTATAGCCTGATGGTTTGGCCATACTTGAATAGGCTTCCATGAAGCCTTCTCCATCGGATGACATCTTCCCTTGGATCTCTGCGGAAATACCACAACTGCCGGGGTGCCTATCCCAGAAGGGAACTGGTACCCTGTGGTAGTCGAGGTCGTTGATTTGGTCCCTGAATCTATTCCGGAGAGAGTCCAACATGCCAATATGGAGGATTGGAAGATGGATTGTCCCTGGTGGCTTGTGTTGACTGTGAATCCTGTGAAGCGGTCTGCAAGCCTTTTTATCACTGTACCATGAGTCGAATGACTGTACAAATGACTTGAAGGGCCTTGAGCCATCATGTCAGCGGAGTGTGTGAATAGGTCAATGTGCAACAAAAAGCAACACAGGGGGTCCCCCCAATTTCACCTATTTGGCATTCCCTTGTCCACTTCCATGATTGCAACCAGGCAAGGATCATTTCCCACCCACACATTGCACCAGTTGGAATCCCACGAGTCGCTGGCTATGAGTCACAAGATCATTGCAACCAGGCAACGATCATTGCCAAACAGGCTCCAACAAATGGGGTACATATTCTTTGCTATCGGGTCGGAAACTGTCAGTGCAAAACCCACATTTTGCAACTTCACATGGTCACAACCCCACCCAAGTGATCAGTCCAGCCGTGATCCCGTCGCATAAAAGGGCACTACTGGAAGACCTAGGCTTGGACCCCAGTGAAACCCAGTCCCCCTTTTTTGGGGGGGACAGTACTAGGTCCAAGAAGTTGGTAAAAGGGCACTGCTGGGGGACCTAGTTGTCATCCCCAGCAGCACATGGCCAGCACCGTCCAAGGCCAGTGGCTGGGAGCTACCCAGCCCCCCAAGTGATCCCGTCCACATGGCCAGCACCCAGCCCCGCCCAAGGAATTCAATAAGCGAAACATCCCGGGTCTGCAAAAAACAAGTGCTTTTGGGATCACTGAAGATGGGTGCAGCCAAAATCCTTGGGAAGTCCCGTGCAAAACCACTGCGCAGCATTCAATAAAGGTTTCAAAGGTGACTACGAACCTTTGAGAGAAACCGAAGTGCATGATTCCCCACGTTTTCAATGAATGGTGGTGTGGAAAGGACCGTGCGCAGGAAGCCCGTGCTCCATCTGAACATGCGTGACAACGGAAGGCAGAACGCAAATTGACCGACGGATTATGACCCGGCGGGATGATCGTCCCTTGGTGAATGGACCCATTGTTTTACCATGACCACAAGTCACCCCCCCAAGTGTCTGACTTTGCAATCACCCCAGTAGAACCCGTTGACTAGGTCTCCCATTTACAGGACCATCCTGAATGGCGCTCGCCAAGGCGCAGTTTTGAAAGGCATCGCCTGCGCACACATGTCCATGTTCACCCTTCACTATGATGCGGGTATTTGGAGTGGGTGGACCTTGAAGCCTAGACCGAGTTCCAAATGACAGGAGCAAGATGCCCAGGGTGTAGGTGGTGCTTCTTGTGGGAGGTCCAAGAACTGTAGCTGGGGTGTTGCTTGGATCGCTTGGATCTGTCCTTTTTTGGAGGGTACTGGTTTTCCGGACAGCTTCCTTCAGGTGTAAGGCGCACCTCACAAAGCAGCTTCGTTGGGTTTCCAGGAAAGCGTCACAGCACGTTAGAACACCCTGCAAACTACCCAACCTAGTCGATCTTTCGGGGCCATTCCCCCAACGTAAAGAGTGGATTCCCATTACCGTGTTTCAGGTGTTCATCGAAAACCTCGGCCACATCGTGGCATGGAGAGTGATCAAGTCGAACATACCTGCCTGAATCACAGTAGGTTCTCTCTGCAAACAACACGGAGTGACAACTCAGACTGAACATCTTTCCTCCGCAGCTCCACTGGCTGCACTTGACACAGCTCGAGCTGATGCAAATAAAGCCAACATGTCTTCATTTGCACACCGCTGTCATGAACAAGGCAGTCAAGGTGGGGCCGGGGGATGTGCTTTAACAAGCCAGCTTTGCAAATCATGTCGCGGAGCCAATCTGGAGATCAAGACCTGGTGTCAAAAAACACTTTGTCATCTGTGCCCGACCTCCAAGTCGATGGGGAACCTTCTCGGAACCCTGACATCTTCTCGTGCCTCCTGCGAGTTTCGGGGAAAAACACGGGGCGCTTGCAGAATTAGCCGTTTATTGGCGATCAACCCAAGGGACTCTTCATCCCTCGCGTCCCGCACGGAGGGTCGTGCAAAAAACAAAGGAAGAAGGGAAGTGCCTTCTACGCCAGCTGGTGAGCAAGGGTCTGGCATGGCGAAACCGAAAGGCTCTGAGCCAAGAGTGCAAAAGCGCGCGCGGTGGGCTGTCCCTCGCCGACTTGTAGTGCACCCTCTGCAAATTGACATGGAACCCAAAGCAGTCCGCCCCGGTTTGTGGACGACAAACTTGAACGTGATGCTTTTCCGGGGGTGCATGCTAATCTGCAGGAGAGCAACGACTTGGACCGCCCTTTTTCCAATTTCAAACAATTCGCAGGTCGCGCGCCGATTCGCATCGATTCCGATGCCCAGTTGAGGGGGAAAGACGCGACGGGCGGCGAATTGGAAAGTTCAGGCATCTGGGTCAGACATACTGCCAGACAAATGGTCAACCACTCCGGGTATGTCTTCACTTGGGTACACCTTTCGGGGGTTGCTGGGTACGGGGTTGTCTGAAAGGTAAGGCAAAGCACGCCCTCCAAGCCATGGGAACTCTTTTGGGTGCGAGTAGGGCAGAACTCGGGTTTGTTGAGGCATGTTGAGGCGGTGTTCAGGGTGGTTTCTGGTGCGCTCAGTGTCGGTTTAGTGTTTTGCAGATTGAATGTCGTGGAGAGTGGTTTGAGGTTGGCTTTGGGATTGAGGGTTGGTTGAAGGTAGGTTTGAGGGTGTAGGGTGGGCTCCTCTTTGAGCTGAGTCAAGGTGCTGCTTCTGGATGCCCCCACTTTCCGAGGCGTTTACCTGTCTCGCGCCCCGTCTTGTGCAGTGCGAGGTGCGGCCGTGCCTGTTGAAACAGCCAACACCACAAAGCATTTGGGCCCTTCTGAATTGGAAACGCTCATGTTGAACAATCAATTTAAGAAGGGGTTGGAAAACAACAAGTTGCCCTTGTTGGCGTCCTTTGGGACATGAACCTATGGGCCATTTGGCCCTGACACAAGTCACGAATCCTGGTCAGCATGCTGATTAAGGGATCTTTGCAAAGGAGGAAACACCAAACCACCAGACCATTTGTGTCACGACCCCCTCCTTGACATGATCAGGAAGAATCTGAACAGGCCCAACGTGAGCTTACATTCACTTGCTGAAAAAAACACCCGATGAAATGCCCTGGGACGTCTGACTGATTCACTGCACGTCTGCACCTCTCAGAGCGAGCGGGTTGCCTCGGCCGACCTGGCCGAAGGCTTCTGGAAACAACACGCTTTATGGCTTTTCATGTCTGGGTTGCTCCACCCTCAGTGCAAGGTCTAACCTTTTTGGAGTTATTAGGCTGAACCAAAAGCCCGGAAATCGAAGATGACCTGTGCGGAGAACGAAGGAGTTGTTCTCATCATCCCGCGCTGAAGAGGGGCGTGCCATCCACAAGCCACTGGGACTCCGCAGAAGGAAACTCCAAACTTTGACGAGCTTCATGCGTTACAAATAACACCCCTATGCTGTTCCACGTGCATTTTCTGTGACAAATACCCAAAGGCAGTTGTTGGGACTGCGGCTTGCTGGGTATTCTCCTACCTTTCACCGCACGCTCCCACCCTGACAAAAACGAAAAAACGCAAATCTCACCAGCCCAATGGACCTGGAAACCGGAGGCCGAAAAGGGAACCCTAAAAGGTATCAAAAGGTCAGATCCGGTCGATTCGCTCACAGCGCTCTCGGCAATGCGAGGCTTTACAACGTTCTAAGCATCTGGCTCACCGCAGGGCGGTCCTTAAGGTTGCTCCAAAGACCCAAGACTCACAAATTTGGCCCGCGGGTCTAAGGCAAAGAAAACCAAACCGATGTTCTACCCTGGTGTTTTCATTTCTCGAGTGGTGAGCTATGATCAAAGTGCAAGGCCCACCCACAACTCACTCACTGCACGCCCTTACCCAAACAACCCTGGTTGCAAGCATTCCAGCATTCCGGTTCGATCACTTTGTTTCCCAAGGTGTTCATTAAAAAGCTGTGGGTCAAAAATAGGTGCCTAAAATGGAATTCCTGATGGCTGAATTTTGACTACTCAAGACTGTCTACGGGGTCCGGGTCCTCAAATGGGCTCGTCTTAGAATTCAGGGAACCCCCAAACATCATGTGGTAACCCCTTAACGCCAACCCAACAAGGGAGGAGGGCCTAAAGGACGACACACCCGTGCCTAGGCCGCAGCTTGCACCGAGACTGTGTGGAATCGGACGGTGTCCTCGCAGGAAACCGTCGCATGGAACCAACAGGCCTACATACCCCAAATGGGTCTACCCCGCCTGCACCTATGAGCCATGCAGATGGTTTCCGAGTATGTTCACTCAGGTTAGCTGAAATATGATAGCAAGGCGAGTTTCGCGCCTTGGCAAAGCAGAGATACCGCAGGAAATGAGTGAGAGGGCTTGCGGCAAGAAATTGGATGACCTCCAGCTACAAATGACCCCAGGTGGGCATCTTGTTCCCTGAATCATGTCACACACACACACGCACACACATACCCATTTCTTTGGAACAAGCCCAAATCCACCCTTACAAAGTCGGAAGCTGGATTTCTGCTGCGCTTGTTTCTCCTTCCTCGTGTTTCACGGGACCACAGCAAATGTTTCGTTGACTGCAACGAGCAACTTAGCCTTTAGCCAAACGATGCGAAGCGTAACGTTCACCCCACATTCATCAACCCCAGTTTATTAATAGGGGGGTGATTCCCCCCAAAACCGGGGGACACCCCCGTAGTAATAAACTGTGGTTGATCAATATGGGGTCAACACTACCGTTGGCTTCACGACGCATCGCAAAAGAAGAACGTGCAATATTACTTGGCTGGCTTTGGCTGGCTACCAAGGACATCTACGTCTCTGTGCGCAGCTCCCCAAAACTACGAACGCAGCCAGCAACTCTATGACCGTAGCACCCGTCTAACCCTGGCTGGGGTCATTTTTTTGACGGTGACTTCGATGGCAAACTAATGCGGCCAGTCGAAAGGGCAAGCACACGGGCGCAAAAAAGTTGCGAGTCCTTGTCGAGCACCACTGCCTTCTCCCCAGACACCTCCACATGAGCCGCAGTTTTGGCCCAATCCTGTCGCGAAGGCCGAACACCCGGAAAACCCAAAGGGCTCGGCCCAGCAAAGTTGCTTAGACTAGGTCCTCCAGTAGAGAGGTTAGAATAAGGGTACCCTTTTGTCTGTAGTCTATTTTAGTGGGGGAACCCTTCCCCAAAAAAGGGTAAAAGGGCACTACTGGGAGTTGGTAGGGGTTCTTGGGGTTTTGAGAACCTTTCGGGGGGGAAGGTAGGGGGTGCTGTAATATCTCTCATGGACTCACATTGGCTTGCGCTCCAAAGGATCCATGCAATGACGACTGGCCCGTGTTTTAACGGCTTCAATCCCAGGGATTTGTCTGATGTGGGAACCTGACGACTTGACTTGACCGCAAGCAGTCCAAGCACTTGGAGCACAGGTTTCAGCAAATCTCCCTATTTTGCATCCCACTACGAACAAGGGAATCCCATGTAGGGAACGAGGGAATTATTGTTTCATGGTATTTGGGGCATTTGGCCCATGTCAGCTGTGTTGGAAAAGCTGATGGAACGTTTACTTGGGACCTTGAAAGTGCCTCAGGATGCAGCTCGAACCTGAATAGCCTGCCTGGTCTGCTGGAAAAATGGGCGTGTTGTGGGGGACCCACAAAATGGATGGTTTCCTTTTTGGTTGCCTTCTAAACCACAAACAACAGCGTAACCTCAAGACCCGAATGGAACCTGTTCCCGAAACTTGGCTCCTGAATCCTGCACTAACAGAAGTCCGGCTGATATCCCGACGGCCGCAGATTTTGAGCAACTCACACAAGGGTCGTCCTTTCCACTAACCCTCCATTCCGCTTGACGCGAACTTGGGGCTTGGACCAATCAGGGCTTCCAGGTGGTGGTTGGCTAGGCCGAATACCACCCACTTTTGTTCAACCCACTCGGGAAGGAATTCGGTCGCCAGCTCGCTCCTTAGCGGCCGTCAGCTCTGAAGTCGCCAGGATGTCGCCTTGGGCCAATGGCCGCCCCGCGCCCCAGGTGCCCAGGTGCCCATGCCCGATGTGACATTTTGGCATGTCAAAGGCGCACACGCAGGTTTGCCCTGCGGATGCCAGTGGGTGGCTTTCCTTTTTCGTTTCCCTTCAGCCAACACACACATGTGCGATTTCCCCTAGAAAGACGAGCCCCCAATTTGCACCACAAACTTGAGCCCAGGCGCCCACCTTCCCCGCTGCCGCCGCCAGGCCCAAGGCCCTTTGCAGCACGGGACCGGCGGTTGGGGAGGCCACGGACGTGGAGCGCCAAACTTCGCCCAAGTCGCAGGCGCAAACCTCGGGCCAAGCGACCCACTTGGCTGTGGGTCAAAAATAGGTATACTGCAAATGCAACCCTGTTAAATTGAAAGAAGGACTCAAACCTGCGGTCCCCTGGTGGTTCAATTTTGACCCATATCGACTTGGCAGGTGGGGGCTTGATCATGAGGTCCGTAAAACATGGGGTTTACCAGTAGGGAAACCACCCCAAAAAACACATACCTTACACCAAAAGGGAAAAGGTGGTCATTTTGGGGCCAGGAATGTTGATCAATTTCCAAGTTGGTTATAACCATGGTTGTAACTTGGAAGTGGGAGATACACTGCGTGGCACCGTCTAGTGGGCAGGTCCGCAATTGCAGTGTCTGCTCCGGCCCTGCAACCAGTGAACGCAGGCATGATTGTAAGAGGATCCCCTGAGCATGGATATCCATCCTGCTTACATGGGAACATCCGAGTAGTGGCCGCTCGGACCATTGACATAGTGACTATGAGTGACTAGCTCACCGCCTGTGTATGTGAAGGGCGTCTGTGTCTGTAAAGTATGTCTCTGTCAGCGTACTGACCATCAACAACTACTGGTGACCACTAGCTTGGTTGACGTTGGAAGGAGAGCAACATCTATTTTTTGGCAGTTACCCAACAACAACCATGCTAGGGGCCAAGGACGGGGCCGCAACAAGGCCATGGCTCCGTATTGGGCGGCCAGTTGCTCTTGATTACAAGTTGCGATTGGGTCGCGATAAGCCGATGCTACTCTCTTGCCTGTTGCTCCGCTTCCTCTCTTTTTCTGCATTCCTGTAAGTTGTGTGTAGCCTTCGCTGCACCATGTACATATACACATATAGAGATCCCTGGTCACATATATTGCAGATATGTGTGTGCGTGTCACACGTATCACCTCTCAAAATGGATGTTGCCAGGCGAACTCCTCAGCCCGCACCGTGGCTCGGCCAGGATGCCATCCCCAGCTGGAAGTCGCCCTTCCGGGTCGCCTCGCCGCTCGGCGGGCGATCTGAATGTGGGGCCCCACGTGTTTCTTGTGCCTCATGTGTATGTGTGGGTGGGTGTGGCTTGTGGTTCATGTGCTATAGATGGGTGTTGTGCTTCATGTGTGTGTTTGTTCTGTTTGAGCTTTTCAAGTGCAAATTATTGTGATCGCGCTGCCCACCACTCACACTACCGCTTCACAAACCCCCAAAATCTTGGCCGGACGTTTTCCTAAGGCGCAGTCGGGGTTTTTGGTTTTTGGGCACAAACCACGTGGCAGAGCCGTGAAGCAATCCCAGACTTAATGTTGACCCAGGATTAATAAACCCGTCCCATAATTAGGGGGGTGTTCCCTCCAAAAGTGGTCTGAATCTCCACTAAAAGGGGACACCCCCCAATCAAAATCAACCAGGGGTTTATCAATCCGGGGTCAACATTACTGGCGACATGAATCTTTGATAAGCTAGCTTTCAGGGATCTGCCGGCCAGATCCAAAAAGTCGTGGTAAATAAAGGGTCTTGACTTGACGAATCAAAACAAATACCTACATTTTGGTGTTCTTCTAGGAAAGTTGTAGATTATGGGTTACTTAGCACCCGAAAAAGGCGGTGTGGTCTCGACGCATTGCCCCTGACAGCGAAACAAGACTAACAGGTGTCAGCGCGTGTTTTATCTTACAATGCATAGCGTCGGTGGGACAAATGCAATTCTGGAAGCGCCTTACACAACGCTCCCACCAGGCAGGCAAACAGCGGAACATTCGGGACCAAACAAATGTCCAATCAAAGCCGAATCGACAAACAGGCGGACATCTGGCTAAGTGCTGACCAAGAGGCATTGTGTAGCGCCATCTCCTGCCGAACCCTTCTGCTCAAATCTTTGTGGGTTGCTAGTTTCAGCTTCTGTTTGCGTTTAGCAGCAGCCGGTAAAGAGGCCTCTTCGCGGGTTGCTAGATTCAGCCTCCGTTTGCGTTAGCAGCAGCCGGCAATGAGGCCAAACTGCAGGTTGTAGAAAAAAGGCAATAAGATCTGTGCTCCTTTCGGTACTTGCTGAACTAATTTTGAGCCACACCCAAAAACACAATGTAAAAGCGGATTCTGCGACGCCCAGTAGAAATGGCTACCCACTTGCCAAGGGATGACGCTCAGCCCTCAAGTGACAAGGCAGCAAACCTACAGCACTTGCCATGGTGTGCCGATGCTTAACCTACAGCAAACAAGCTGGTCAAAACGGTCGAGCTTTTGTTGGACACAATTACCGTTTCCGCTCCTGGCTGCAAAGTGTAGTTGTAACGAATCTGAATGAGAAGCATGCCTGACACTTGCTTGTCCATGTTCGCCATGTGCGCCGCTTGGCACGCTCACGCTCACCTGCCCGGACAAACAACAGAAGCCACCACTCCTCACTCCTCCAACCACCATGTGACAGGAACGAGATCGTTTCACCCACTTCCGCAAGCTTGTGCCATCTGGAGCAGACTCCTGAATGATGCTTCTGCTGCAATCAACAGATGAAAAAACCACTGGCTCGTGTCTTCGCCTTCCCTTTGGACTTCCATTGGGAACGTCTAACCTGCTCTTCCCGATTATCACCCTAGCTTGCTGACTCTCACCAACCCCGAGGAAGTGAAGTCGATCCAGGCCTTGAAGGGACTTGAAGGGCTGCTGTTGCGAGGGGCGAGAAAGTGACTTGAGCCGAACTTTTGGAGGGCGACACCGTCCCCCCAATAATAGACTATACGGGGTGAACATGACCTAGGTCCTCCAGTAGAGAGGTTAAAATAAGGGTAACCTTTTTTCTGCAGTCTATTTTTGTAGGGGAACCCTCCCCCAAAAAAGGGTAAAAGGGCGCTACTGGGAAACCTAGTTACACATTCCAAGAGCCGTCGAGCCCGGGCTCCTTCTGCGCCTCATCGGCGCAAAGCACCGCCTGCTCGCTGGTCTCGAAGAGCCCCGCCACACGGTGGCCCTGGTACCAGCAGATCTCCCCTGGACGCCGAAGGTAGGGGATTTTGGGACCCAAAAAGTTGGGGACTGGGCAAGCAATTCAAACGACCACTTCAGAGCTCCAAAAGCAAATGCGAATCGAGGTAGTCCATGGATGTGAGTGATCCTTACCCTTTTTGGGGGACCACTTTGGCGTACCAAGCGGAAATTGGCATGTCTAGTCTCAAAAGGATCACTAGCCCTACACCAAAATGGGCTGCCAGGCTGCGCCTCAAATCTACCCATAAAATTGTGAGCAGAGTTGGAACCAAGCCCAGAAACAAGGCCCAAGCCCCATGTTGACTCATTGAAAAGGGGTCAACGGCGGAACAGCTCCTAGCCACTGAGCCTAGGCTCCAGACACAACTGTGCTTTATCAACACGGTCTTAAGTGAAATGCTGGGGAAAACTATTGAAGGACAGCGACACAGAAAACAGAGGTGATCAGGTGTGAAATGGGTGATAATCTTGGCAACTGCCGAGTTTTATTTCATTGAGGATGCATACGGCCGAGTGCAAATATCAGAATTCCCTTCAGATGACTGCCCATGAGTTTCTATTATATCTCACAGGGCTATCAAAATGTTGATGGTGACTACTACGTGCGCGGCTCTCTTCCATTGGGGCAAGGTGTGTGTGTGTGTGAGTTTAAGTGTGTGCTTGTGATTGTGTTTGTGTCGTGGTTGTGATTGTGAGTGTGTGGTTGTATTTGTGCGTGTGTTTGTGTTTGTGTCCGTTTGTGCTTGTGTTGTGTTTGCTCCTGTGTGTGTGTGTGGTTGTGGTTGTGATCGTGTTTGTGTTTGTGCTTGTGTTGGTGTTCGCTTGTGTTTGTGTTTGTGCTTGCTCGTGTGCTCGCGTGCTTCGCGTGCTTCGTGTGCTTCGTGTGCTGCGTGTGCTCGTGTGCTCGTGTGCTCATGTGCTCGTGTGCTCCTGTGCTCCTGTGCTCCTGTGCTCCTGTGCTCCTGTGCTCGTGTGCTCGTGTGCTCGTGTGTTTGTGTGCTCGTGTGCTCGTGTGCTGGTGTGCTCGTGTGCTCATGGTGCTCGTGGTGCTCGTGGTGCTCGTGGTGCTCGCGTGCTGGTGTGCTGGTGTGCTGGTGTGCTGGTGTGCTGGTGTGCTCGTGGGCTCCTGTGCTCGTGTGCTCCTGTGCTCGTGTGCTCCTGTGCTCCTGTGCTCCTGTGCTCGTGTACCCGTGTACCCGTGTGCCCGTGTGCCCGTGTGCCCGTGTGCCCGTGTGCCCGTGTGCCCGTGTGCCCGTGTGCCCGTGCGCTCGTGCGCTCGTGCGCTCGTGCGCTCGTGCGTTCGGGCGTTCGTGGGTTCGTGGGTTCGTTCGTTCGGGTTCGTGGGTTCGTGGGTTCGTGGGTTCGTGGGTTCGTGGGTTCGTTTTTTCGTGTGTTCGTGTGTTCGTGTGTTCGTGTGTTCGTGTGTTTGTGTGTTCGTGTGTTCGTGTGTTCGTGTGTTCGTGTGTTCGTGTGTTCGTGTGTGTGTTCGTGTGTTCGTGTGTGTGTGTGTGTTCGTGTGTTCGTGTGTGTGTGTGTGTTCGTGTGTGTGTGTGTGTTCGTGTGTTCGTGTGTTCGTGTGTTCGTGTGTTCGTGTGTTCGTGTGTTCGTGTGTTCGTGTGTTCGTGTGTTCGTGTGTTCGTGTGTTCGCGTGTTCGGGTGTTCGTGTGTTCGTGTGTTCGTGTGTTCGTGTGTTCGTGTGTTCGTGTGTTCGTGTGTTCGTGTGTTCGTGTGTTCGTGTGCTCGTGTGTTCGTGTGTTCGTGTGTTCGTGTGTGTGTGTGTGTCTGTGTGTGTTTGTACGTTTGTGCGTGTTCATGCGTGTGTGTGTGTGTGTGTGTGTGTGTGTGTGTGCGTGTGTCTGTTTGTGTGCTTGTGTGTTTTGTGGTTGTGCGCTTGCGCGTTTGGATGTTTGCGTGTTCTTGTTTAGTATTTTATGTGCTTGTTTGTGTGCGCGCTTGCGCGTTTGCATGCCTGTGTGTGTGTGTGTGTTCGTTTGTGTTCGTTTGTGTTCGTGTGTGTTCGTGTGTGTTCGTGTGTGTTCGTGTGTGTTCGTGTGTGTTCGTGTGTGTGTGTGTGTGTGTGTGTGTGTGTGTGTGTGTGTGTGTGTGTGTGTGTGTGTGTGTGTGTGTGTGATAGTGTGTGTGTGTGTGTGTGTGTGTGTGTGT